GGGGGGGGGGGGAGTACCAACCTCCCAATTTGGTGGACAATGACATCGAAAACCATCGTACAGATCTTCGCAAGTGCCCTGATTCTGACAAGGATTACTAATGCACTCGTCGGCGGTAAGTTTGTTCTCCAAAGTTCGAATTCTCCTGGTCAAAGTTTGTAACTTAAAAAAATATATAACGAATATATACATAGAGTGCAACAATTATTTTTTTAAAATTGACTGTCAAAGATAAAAAATTGTCACTCACCCGAACCGTCAGGCCGCGAATAAGATTTCTGGCCACGACGTCCTTCGAGGTTACCTAATAACACACGAATTTAGCTACAGATCATTTCAAGCTAATTTACCAAATAAAATTTATAAAACTTACTCGATTTCTCGGTAGCTGATCCGGCGTTTCGGAAGTATTGAGTGCCGAAGAGCCACCAAGTTCCAGGGTACTTATGCGTCTGAGCAAACCGGAGGAACCCTCCACCGCGTCCGAAAGTCTATCCAATCTTGATTCCAGGTTCTTCTTAAGATCCGATTCCCAATTTTCCACGATTTCCGACGCGTGACGCGCCTAATTATCGTGACAATGACAATATACATAAAAGACTTATACATATATATATATAATAAATTATCATTAAACTTACGTGCGTGGCAACGTGTACCAAGTTAATCCCGTTAACATTAACGAATCCATTTCCTAAGGTTTTTAGTGTGATGTTCTTATCTTTGGCACTTGATATGTAAAGGTGGCCGTCTCGAGATTCCAGCACGGGCCTAAAACCAGTGAAGACAGCGTTCACGCACTTTTCAATTATAAGTGCAAGTGCCTAAGCACAATTCATAACCTTCAAATAATAACGAGCCACTGTGCGCGCTTGGTGCACTGCTTAGTATAACTTATTAACAACTTGAATTCAAACCTTTCGTTCATCCAGGCTGCACAGAATCCCGCGCAAAGGAACACGAGACACGTCACTGTCCGTGCACTCATTGTGAAGCTGCAACAAACCGGGTTCTTAATATTTCACCATTTCAAATAGCTAGTAGAGGCAGATCTAAACCGACGGAAAACTCGCTACTGACTGAGCTACCGGCTAACTAACTTGTCGCTTAATTATCCTAAAGTGGGCGTACTCAGTCGAGATATGGAAATCCACCCAATATTGAATTACTTAAATTTTTCCAACAATCATTCATGCCTGACTTCGTGCAGTCAAATCAGAAGAAAACAAATCAGTTTGATTAACAAAAAAAAATAAAAATTCAAGCAACAAGGATACGTTTTTATTAAAGTGGAATATTCTTGTATTCCTCATTTATAGAATTATTAAGAATTCTTAGTTGGTAACGATGATCATAATACTTTCGTAATATTCACCAATATTTTTCTTACGGGTTCGCAGATGTTAATGACGTCGCGTGGAGAAGATAGGTGGTCGATATATCGTTACAAAATACTGATAGACCCGATGCGGCTTATCTGGATGGGAAGACATGCTATAGTCTTAAAAGTCTTATGACTATAGTGCTAAAGCTGTGCTGTGCAGCAGTTTACACATAATATACAGTAGAGCTTCTGTTAATATGGCGAGTCGTAGTGATCAGGGTCGACAATGAGTCAGACAGTGGGTGAATAGTGGCACAGCCTGACACGCTGTCCGATCGGAGCAACCACAGCCATGGCAAGTGAATTAATTATTTACAGCAACTACTTATTGTATTTACTTTATTTCAATAAACCAATTTTTTTTCCTTAAAAACTATTTTATTTACCGCACGACGTACGTTTACTTATAATATTATTAAAGGAGTCTCTTCTACTGTCTTTCAAATTATTTTGAATTTCAGACATTTTTTTAAGGGTTAACAATGATTTTCATTACAAGAATATTGTCTGCTTATATTTTTATAATCTTTGTTCCTATATACCACAATATTTTTATTCTCAACAAATCTTCATCTTCTTGACATCTGGTTACTGAGTACCGAGTAATTTAGCTTTTTATAATTCATTAAGATAACGGTGATCTATTGTCTACGACCTGAAATAAATCTCGCGCACGATGATTAGGATGATAAATGTTCTTTTTTGGGACACCCTGTATACATACACACATTACACATAGTAATGTCATTACTTAGCGAAGATCGATCAAATAATTTATTATACACTATTTTGTAGTCCATACAAATAGAGCAGCCATCCAGCATGGGGATACTAGAAAGAATAGATGATTATTCCCAATTAAAAATGTCCAGCCTGTTACCAATAACTTAGACCTTCCAGTTAATTACTGATACTCACCAAAGTTTTCAAAAAAAAAATGGGCCAAGCTGTTCTTCAAATTTCGTAAAGCATATCAAGTCCAAAATCAAAGTAGACCATCGTCTTTGTATGAGTAACAAAAAAAATATGTGATAATCGATCCAGTTGTCCCAATAAATAACCACGTCGACCAACGTGTGTAAATGGCCTCCCAGTTTTCTGTAACAGTAAAATTTCTAGAAAATGCTTTGAATATCCAATGTATACACGTTGCAGTCGTATTCGATCAAGTTGCTATGGTTACAGCGTGACAACCTTTCAAATCGATTGATACTGTCCTATAATCTGAAGGAAAGAGACTTTCTTCAGAAAAGTCACCATATGTTGTACATTATATTACATAAGCCCTGTATCGACGTCCAGACTATAGCCAATATCTGTTTTAGAAAATTTCTTGAATAATTAAGGAAATACCATGGGTCAAGGTAGATGTCGTCTATACCTGACCCTTATCGATGGCTGTATTCGTTATAACTGCTTCACATAATTCCGACTTACCTTACCAGTAACTGTCCAGCTACTGGACATGCAGGTGGCCAATACCAACCTTACCCTTGTGCTTAGTAAAAGCGGTAAATTTAATATCACGTGATAGAATTGTACGATTAAAAAAAGAATATGGCTAAAAAGGTAACCTGTTGTTCGAAAATAACTCTTATCGCTGGATGATATGAAGTTACTATTATGGGACGAGACATGTTGGAGATATATTTTGTGTGATTCTGCTCAGCGAGAATGCCTATCTATACATATCGGCCAGGCTGGCGTTCAAATGGGAAACGCCTGTTGGGAACTTTATTGTCTGGAGCATGGTATTCATCCGGATGGTCAGATGCCTAGCGACACGACTGTGGGATATGGAGATGATTCTTTCAATACATTTTTCTCAGAGACCAGCTCTGGGAAACACGTGCCCAGGGCCGTATTTGTGGACTTGGAGCCCACTGTCGTTGGCGAGTATATAGTGGTTATTGAAATGATGCAATTTTAGAATGAAATTAATTGGGTGGGAATAATTATTGTAGACGAAGTTCGTACTGGTACATACAGACAATTGTTTCATCCTGAACAATTGATCACGGGAAAGGAAGATGCCGCTAATAATTATGCCAGAGGACACTATACCATAGGTTTGTAATTAAAAGACTGGGTTATTGAAATCGTAATTTTTTATTTAAATTATTGATTATGTAATCAATGTAGCAAATTGCTAATGATACTTCTAAGAGAATTTTGTATTTTTAGGTAAAGAAATTGTCGATCTTACTCTTGATCGGATTCGCAAGATTGCTGAGCGGTGCAAGGGACTTCAAGGATTTTTGATTTTTCACTCGTTTGGCGGAGGAACTGGATCTGGATTTTCTAGCTTATTAATGGAAAGATTATCCGTTGATTATCCCAAGAAAAGTAAATTAACATTCAGTATTTATCCGGCGCCTCAGGTACTTTGAAAATTTACTTATTTAATAGTTTTTATAATTTTATTTATAACAATTTTATGTTCTTCATTCGTTGTTTAGGTTTCTACAGCTGTCGTTGAACCGTACAATGCGATCCTTTATACTCATCCGACTCTGGAACACTGTGAAGTCGCCTTTATTGTAGACAATCAGGTTGGTTGTATTATTTTAATTAAATAGTACCACGATAATTGTTACAAATAATAATTATACCTTTTTTAGGCTATCTATGAACTGTGCAGAAGAAATTTGAATATCGACAGACCAACTTATACTAATCTCAACCGTCTCATTGGTCAAATAGTATCATCTATCACAGCCAGTTTACGTTTTGACGGAGCACTCAACGTTGACCTAACGGAATTTCAGACGAATTTAGTTCCTTATCCACGAATACATTTTCCTCTGGTACAATTTATTTATTGAATATTCTATTAGAAAATAATGAAACATTCAATATTATAGTGAACATGTATCATCTTCAGGCAACCTACGCACCGGTTCTCTCAGCAGCCAAAGCTGGTCACGAGCGAATCACAGTGTCAGAAATTACAAGTTCGTGTTTCGAACCAAATCATCAAATGGTTAATTGTGATCCACGACGTGGAAAGTATATGGCCGTTTGTATGCTGTACAGAGGCGACGTAGTACCAAAAGACGTTAATGCCGCCATTGCTATGATTAAGAAACAAAAGCACGTACAATTTGTAGAATGGTGTCCGACTGGTTTCAAGGTGCTTATTTAATTTACAGGTTCTAGTTAAATTTCTAGAATTTATTTAATTAAAATTTTTATTCTTTTGTTTTATTAAGGTTGGTATTAATTATCAGCCACCGACTGTCGTTCCTGGTGGCGATTTGGCCAGAGTCGAAAGAGCCGTTTGTTGTCTTTGCAACACAACCGCCATTGTTGAAGCTTGGGCCAGGATCGATCACAAATTTGATCTCATGTATGCAAAGCGAGCATTTGTTCATTGGTGAGTAATTTCATCTACGATGACATAAATGAATAGACCTTGGATTAATTGCACAATTGTTTGATCGAAGGTTTGTTGGAGAAGGTATGGAGGAAGGTGAATTTTCTGAAGCTAGAGAAGATTTAGCAGCTCTTGAATTGGATTATCGTGAAGTTCAGGAAGACGCTACTAACACGGAAGACGAGGATGATGGATATTAGACATTATGAAAATTTACTGTCCTAATTTTTTTTCTTCTTAACTCAATCAGATATTTCAGGTCATAATCAATGTTCTTGAAATGTAGGTTGTATCATAGGATACATATTCGATTAATCATTTTAGATCACAGCATAAACCTAGGAATAGGTGCGTGGAGTGTCTGAGCCAACTTAATGCCTTTCACATGAAGAACAAAATCGCGCGAACGTTCTCGGATTAATGGCGTCAGAATCGTGTTATCAATTTCATAATTAATATGCTAAGATTTATATGTACTTCCTATTTATATTCATTGATATTCCGCAATAAGCAATTTTGCTAAGTAGTCACTCTTATAGAATAAGTCATGCTATTTGAGGAGCCTGTTTGCCCCTGCGTCACGTTGGAAAAATAACTTGACTCACACGAAGAAATTTACGGAACTTTTCGTGTTGAGGTTAATGATTTTTGGGATATCAAAAAATAATTTTCAGAAAGTTTACCTATGAGGGAAGTGACGCCTGGTATTAAATTGAAGAAAAACTGTGTTCTCAAAATAAAATAGCAAAGTTTGACATGAAGTCTTATGTCAACACCCCCTATCAGTAAAAGTCCAATCGAGTAATTCTCACGACATATTTCTGTACACCAAACGCACTTATTGTTAACCTAACATCTACCTATTATATATTACTTACTCTGACTTTTGATCCGACTCACTGTGAAAACCACGAATAAGACATTCCGTAAATTTTCATTAGCTTCGAATTGCATTTCACACTCGTTTTACCTCTCAAACGAGCTTTCTTGATGAATCTTGCAGCTCATACATTCTCTGCTAGATGGCATTAATGTCGAGAACCTCGACTGTGGCGTAGGCTATTAGATTTTGAATCAGAGAATCTGAAAGTTACTTCTATGAAAATGCAAGACATTTTGTTAAGTCGAAAGGTGGAGTGCAAGAAATCGACCTCGTCCACTCAAAGTTCAAATAGAAAAATTGAGTCTATATTCGCGCGTTGAAAAACACCCATGACAAAACTGCCGGTACAGAAGTTTCTATTCTAAAGAAGTTACCATTCGAAAGAAGTATGCCTAAAAAATAATCGCAAAAGGCTCGTCAATCGTTTTCCTTACATGACGCCCAGAGATGAGTAGAGAGATCCACAACGCTACGATTTTAGGCGATATCAAAAGCATGGCGATAAATCGTAGCGGTGAGGCCGGAAGAAGGATTTTGTGATCATCGCCTCCATCGATAATGCGAATCCCGTCGTAGCCGAGTTTCGCGTGAACACGAACGCGTAACTTGGCGGGCAGAGGTACTCATCTCTGGCAGCTGCTGGCAGATTCACGAAGTGCGGTGCATTTATATATTTTTATTTCATGCCGAATTCCGTCCTCGTCTTTACAACCTACGCCACTGGTGCTCCAATCTATGTTTCCTGCCCCAGTGAACAATCGCCTTAGGCGATTTTTGTGAGTACAGTCTTACAAAGTCATACAGAAGTTTGTATTTTTCCTAAATTATTTCATGGAGTCGAAGAGACGACGGAAGCGACAAGAGTGAGGCAGTGAGGCATGAAAAGAAGTCCTGCCAATTTCGTCTAGAGGGTAAACTACGTGAAGAAAAGGCCAGAAGAGGCTTCCCTCGTGCCGCAAACTCAAGCTTGACAAATATCTTAGGCTGATGCGAGTGTCCTGTAAACCCGAGTCTAAAGGATCGGAAATGATCGTTCAGTAACCGGGCGTTACGTTCGGTTCGATGGTAAACTCGTGATGCTCTTGACGTTCACAACTAAAACCACTGGACGGCTTTGACCTCTTCACGTTTTATTCTGAAGGAAATTTGGCGTCTCGCTCGAACACCGGGTGATTGGCTTTGTATAAGACGATTTTCTCGTTTAGCTCGATATGGCCGTCGTCGAGGAATTTGATTACTTATGTCGGTTGTGTGCAACCAAGACAGGCATCCTGATGGGCCTGCCTATTTTCGAAGCCGGTGATCAGATGCGTAACATTGACAAGAAAATCGCTGCCTGTCTTCCCGTTCAGGTACAGTTCGTAATCAATGATGGACTCCTTTTTGACTTTTTTTTTTCTTATCCACTATAAATAGTGTTCCTTTGGCTGAGTGTTTTCAGTCCTTAACGAATCAATTTAGGACACGATGTTGATTCATTCCAGGAATTTGATATCCGTATCACCACTGATTGCTATAAAAGTATGTGTAATAAGTTCTTTCTTGCTTTGATTGGCAGGTATCGATGACTGACCAGTTGCCAAAAGTTGTCTGCGAGGAATGTGCATACAAATTGGATCAGTTATTTGATTTTCGAGAGAAATGTTTGCATACCGAGGGTATGTTCATGAAAATGCTTAAGGAAATCAGTAAGGATGATGTTGTACACATTGACCATAATCTTGAAGAAGTTGATGACATACCTGTCATGCAAACAACCATTAACACAATGCAATCAGATATCGAAGAGATACAGAATCATGCCAGTAGAACACAACACGATACTGGAGAAGCTGCTATGCATACTATGCAAGTAATGGATGAAATGGACTTGGCAGGTGGGGAGCAAGTTGTTACACAGGAAGATATTGCACAGCAGGATGGTGACATTGAGGTTACTGGCATTGACTGTTTGGATGGCGATACTGTTCGGATGGTCGATGAGCATATTAGAGAAGTATGCATTGATAAATAGGAACCAATAAGAAATTTATTCATTCATATTTATACCCTTTTTTAATCTGTACAAAAGGTTTCAAATCATCAAATTGCAATGCACCTGGAAGGAGACATGACTGTGGTGAGCAACCTGACAGTTGGCGATCATCTTGATCAGTTGGGCATAAACTATGTAACTTCTATCAGCCCTCAGGATCAAAACAGGGAGCAGATAGTTCACTACTGTGAAAATGTTAAGTATGAACCTGTGACGGTAAAAGAGGAATACGAAAGGTTACAGGAGCGGTTAACCGTAGATGCTCCAACACACGCTATTGAAAATAATGTAAATATATATAACCGTAATCATTGGACATCATTTACTTATTTAAATTACTTTAATAACCTTATTTCTTGCAATACCTAGGTAACCACCGACGAGTTTCCTCCTTCGCACGCAGAAACAGACAGTGAAATCGAAGAGTCGGGTGTCAGTGAAAACGAAACACACGAGAATTCCGATCCTCTACATACAAACGCGTTGCCTTCCACAAGTCAAGTAACGACCGAAAGTTCAACAATAATGGTAGAGTACTCAAAGAGAACAAAACATTCTTTACTTGACACAACCCTGAACAATCCGACTATAGATGAAACCGGAGCAAACTGGTACGTCTGTCCATTTTGTAATGAAGCAGCAACAGAACCCAACAATCTCGTGGTACATTTTGAACAACATTTTTGTTGTTGCCCATGTGGACTGTACTTCACTAGCGTCGAAGTACTTAATATTCACAAGCAGCAGTGCGATTTATACAAGAGCAAGAGTATCATAAAGGAAGACATGGTTGCTGAAACAGATGCAAATACAGTAGCGAACAACGTCAATCAGGAGGAGCAGAAGAAGCAGCCGGCTGTGAGACAAAAATGGACACCAAAAATTTGTGCCCAGTGCGGCAAACAGTACAGAACCAATTACAAACTCCAGGAACACATGCGCAAACACACTGGGGAAAAGCCGTTCCAGTGTCTCCTCTGCGAGAAAGCATTTCGTAGCAAGATCGGATTGGCCCAGCACACGGCGACGCACACAGGTCAGTTCGACTATAATTGCTCCACCTGTGGCAAAGGTTTCCAGTGCAAGAGTTATCTGATCGTCCATCAGAGAGTGCACTCGGACCTAAAGCCGTATCCGTGCAGCACGTGTGGTCAGAATTTCAAAACGAAACAGTCGCTTCTGGACCACCAGAACAGACACCTAGGGGTGAAACCATACATGTGTGAGATATGCGGTCGTGGATTCATCACGAAAGGCCTTTGCAAGAGTCATCAGAAGATTCACTCGGGGATGGACAACCGCCAGTATCCTTGCGTCGTTTGTAACAAGATGTTCGTCAGCAAGAGCTACCTGAATACTCACCTCAGGATTCACACGGGTGAGAAACCCTACCTCTGCGAAGTCTGCGGCAAGGGTTTCCTGACCCGCGTCGACCTCAAGATACACTCGACGATGCACACAGGCGAGAAAAGTTTCAAGTGCGAGATGTGCGGAAAGGTGTTCGCGAGACGCGCTGCCCTGCGCTGTCATAGACGTTCTCATACAGGTGAGCGTCCTTACAGTTGCGACGTTTGCGGCAAAACGTTCACGCAATTCAGCCCAATGGCAATTCACAAGCGGCTGCACACCGGCGAGCGTCCTTACGAATGCGACGTATGTGGCAAATCCTTTGTCTCGAGGTCGACCATGATGTGTCATCGGAAGAAGCATCATTTGCCAGCAACGTCCGTTCCCAAGGAGGTGATGGTCGTTCATGAGGACGCTGAGGTCACAAACATCATGTCCACGGAAATTGTCCTTAGGGAATCGCATGAGGGCATTCAGATTACTGCCGATTAAAATTTTCTTTACCCGCTTTTATGGGCGTTATACTCACTGAGAGACGTATTGACTGATAAAGTAATAAACGCTCGTTCAAGAGCGACGCGAGTGAATTATCGGATACAATCGTTCATGATGACCATGGATGATTTTTATAATTTCTACATCTGTTGACACTTCCGGATTAATCAGCTTGCACGAATGTACAATTTGATTGAATCCCCATGTCTTTTTCGTTCTATTCTACAAAGTATCAATTGCCAATTGCCAGTTGTCATCCTCGTCGTAATCGATTTTGATTCGTTATTCGCGTCGCTTCGAATTGCTTTGAAAGTTCCACAGTCGACGTGCGATTAATTGGATCAGAATCAATTTGGATTACTAATTCACGTTAATCAACTTTGTGCTAGATAATTCGAAGCGTAGTGCTATGCTCTTAAACTAAAAGAAAGCACATAGATAATCAAAGTACCATTTGAAAAGACAATGTTTTTTGATTTTTTTAATATAAAAATCCATAACTTTTTGTCCTCGCCCTTTTCTACTAGATACTAGTGAATTTGTATTCGTCAAGAGTCGTAATACTTGTAGCAATAATTCCTATATCCGAGAAATATTTCACATCGAGCAACGTGTACTGGCGAAGAATCTGGTTATTAAAAATTGATAGCCAAGTAGACATTCGTATATGAAAAATTGCTTTTTCTTAATTCTTTTTAAGAAATTATCAGTTCCGCCATGTTTGAGTATGTATAGCGGGTGCATGCATGAATTATACAAATTTTACAAGTATTGATTATGACCATACAAATTTAAAAAATTTTTTTAATCATTTCACATTCATATGTGTATCAGAGAATGACGAAGTCTATGAAAAAATAAACAACGATCCTCAAAGATTGTTAGACTGCGTTAAACAAAACTAGTATTTCCTTTTAATCTCGCAGCACTCTACCAAATGACATCCCATAAAACGTTTGATCCAATTACGTTAATTGGCCATTGGATTCGACAATTAGTTCTCCCTGGCTGCGATGAAGTTTTTACAGCTAGATTATACTTATACGAAAATTTTGAAATTCGCGCCATTATAAAAGCTTCTATTACTGCTACCAAAGATGCGTTCCGATATTCGTTCAAAATGATGTGAGAGCATGGTTGTGTCGCACTCTATCGCATTCAGATAAAACGGAACACAACGATACTCGTAGCACTGGTAATGAATTTCAAAACGTACCCTAAGAAAGGTGAAATATTTTCTTATAAATAAATAGCGTGTGGGAAGAGGGCGAGAGAAAGAAAAAAGAGAGGATGTATGCGTGAACGCGTGCAATGCCTATTTTGCTAAAGCAACGACGATTGCAGGTTATTATTACGTCTTTAATAATGTAGAAAATTCAAAAAAGATATTATTTTCTCATTTAATTCAAAGAGCTAAGAAAAATATGCAACAGCCCATCAGAGCCATCTAACTCCTCGCTTTGAACCAATCCCACAAGTTCCTTCAAAATCCTTTCACTCGAAAATCCACATAAACCTTTTGCTTATTATGTCACTCGAGGAGATATCAAGATTTGTAAGTATTATATTTTTCACGTGATACTACTATACTAATTATGAATTACAGTCAATTGCCTAGAATTCAAGAATTTTTGAAAGATACTGTTTTTCAATATATCTAACCCGCCACTTGCTAGATACCGATCGCAAATTTTAAATAAAATTCATTGTAACCTCGTTAACCCAGTTCTTCTCGGTTTTTTTTCTGTTATCAATCCTTCACATCTTACAGCCTCCGGTCTCATGGCCAATATCTTTCACGAATAAGAGAATAAACGTTATCGCTGACGTAAAGACAAACTGTTGCTAATACAAAGTTTTTTATCGCTGACATCGAAACAGCCGTTAATATTAAACAGAGAACAAGATATATTGTATTTTGCGCATACTGCTGAATCCTCATGTAAATAAAATATCTTAACGGACTACAGATACACCATTATCGAAAAACAACGTTGAACTTATTATAGGCATGTACGAACGTAAAATAATGACAGATCGATAAGTTCGTATTATTATATTTTACTCGAATTAAGGTAATACGGATAATATTTATTCAATAGACATATCATTATTATTTTCATTCACTTGTATAATCATTATCCAATAATAAATTGAAATTTCGTAATTTTGGCAGTTTAACATCTTTTCGTTATCTCACAAATGAATAACCAAAAAATCCTTTCGAAACGTTTCGTTGCTGATCATTGAGACAAATCTCAAAATTTTAAACGCGTGTCGAGAATCGTGAATAACGAGAATAAAAATCGTGGAAGGAGGCCGCTCGACATACATCGGTAAGAACAATAAACATACAATATCAATTACGAATACATTAATGGCGTTTATTAAGAAATTGGACACAACATATAGTCAGCTCCATCTACGTTTCACTATGACGGGTGGCGGCAATGTGTAACAATCTTTATCGTGTGGTTACGTCTATATGCAGGTATTTATTACTTGTAATTTTCGCTTGTATAATAATAATAATAATGATGATAACATTCACGACTTTCGCAGCTTTTTCTTTTTCTCTTTACTTCAGCTACAGATACATCCCTACAATTGACGACAGAAATACTTTTGACTTCTATAATTTGACGTTAACTAGCTACGCAAGGCATCAATGACAATATATATATTTTCTTAATTAATTAATTTTATTCGTTCTCTATTCTCTCTCTTTCTCGTTTATCCCAATCTCGTTTCCTCTATATTTATATTTTGCATTATATCTATAGGTGTTAAAAAGAGGATCTTCTACCACGTCTACGAGGAGGCCCCTGGTTTACTTTTGCAAAAGCTAAACAAAATTTTCCTGCATTTTTCTTCTTATTATCTGGATAACGTTAAAACAATTGTTTTATCCAGTGTGAAATATTTGGACAATCTGTACGACGATAACGCGTTTCAATCCACTCCGCCACTGTTATAAATATTAAAATACATATAAAACGTTAAATGGCTTTGATGATAGGAAGAAGAAATGAAAAGATGACATATCAAAATTGTCAATAATAATACAAAGTACAAAATACATCTATCGTTGCATTACGTGAAAATTGTTTGATTTCATTTCATTTTTATTAGACTATAAGGGACCTTCGCCTGTTTCTATTCTTCACTCTTTAGTTATCCACCTTACTCCTTTGCTTTACATTCTTCAATTTTTTTCCTCTTTAGACATTTTTCTGCTATCAATTTTTTTTTCTTTCTTAACCTTATTTTTTTATTCAAGTTTATAGGCAGGGGCCCTCTCTCCTTGGCTACGTCAGTGGTCAATTTTGTTAGTGTATCATTTTCTAAGGTCGTGCGGTCTTATACATGTATGTTACAAAGCACCAAAATCTCTCTCTCTATACATATATATATGACGATGTAATATACAGGGTGCCGGGTACAAGTGATATAAAGTGCAGTGTTCTGATAAGAGCTTGGAGCTCATTTTCAAAATATGAAATATCACATGCGCGTTTTTTCTTATCTCACGTATATAAATTTGAGTACAACGTAACACGAGGCGATGGTTTCTTAATATTATATAATATTTGTCATGTACAATAAAAGATGAAAAAAACAAGAGAGTATTTCTTTTTCTTTAAAATTTTTCATTTCTAAAACTTATCCACACCTTATGCATGTTGTACCACATGTATATCAGCTATCGACAAACATCGTCGATTACGATAAACGCAAATCACAATAATAAAATCGAACGAATATTCTCGAATCAAATTAATAATTTTCACAATAACATATCCGTGTGATTTTCTACGTATTTTGCATTCCGATCCGCGCGACGTCTCCAACGTGCGGGTTTCGCGTTTTATGTTTTCTTCTTTTTTTTTTTTTTTCGTTCACTGTAAAAAATTAGAACTATTTTGGCAGATAAATACAGCACGCGTAGCCTCACAGTTCGTAAAAGTATCGCTTTAATTTCTTTGATCCCAAAAATCATTCTTAGCGGCTAAATTTTGGATTTTTTATTTTTCCACTTTGTTTTTTTAACTTATAAATAGTCACAGCAAGTATCGATATAATCCGTATGGAGAGAGCAACGATTAAGACAGACATAGTTTTTAGGAACACCAAAAATTTTGACTTGACAAATATGCTTCCTCTTTTCTTTTTTCTTTTCATTCACGGTCACATGGCAGAGTCATAAATTCAAAATACGTCGCTTTATACCCAGAGAAGATGCTCTAGTGAAATTTTGCAAGTTTCAAAAAAAAAAAAAAAAACCAAAAGTCAATGTCTTACGATCCTAAGGAATAGTCACAGAAATAAATAATAATCGGCGTTGGCACCGACAGCAGTTAAGAAATATTTCACAAAAATGTTCGCGGAGTCTCGAATCATGGATTATAAAAACTACTTTTCTCCAAAGACAGACATGCGATCGACGACAACGAAAATTGATTTTACAAACTGAATTCTGATAACGAGCGAATGAAATAAAGCTATTCGTAATAAATAATGTTTATTTAATAATAAAACCCAATTAAACTATACATAGTATCGATAGTCACTCGTGTGTATGTATGCGTGTACGTGTTTATGCGTGTAGATAGATATTTTTTTCTCTAACGATACGAAATGGTGACGCGATGTCTTTGACGATAGAGTTCTCTATCTTTTTTTATCACAACTACAACGTCGCATGCATAATACTGAATTTGTGCATCATCACAATGAAGCAGGCACCACTACCATCGTCATCGTCGTCATCTCTAACTCATAACTTCCGGGACTTTCTCCAACATTAAGAAAGGAAATATTTTCACGTAGAGGCCCTGCTGCCCGCGACAAATTTTACAAAGAGAACAAAAAAAAAAGAGATGAAGAATAATAAGATAAATCGCTCGACCAGCTAACCATAAAATTCATTCCTCTTCGCGAATTCAGACATCGCGTCATTGGCGCATTGTTTACGAAGTACCAAATCACCTCGCTCTTAAATAAACTGTAGTTAATGGCAAATCGGAAGCTATGAAGGAATATTATTCAGTGCGTCTTAAGAGAGAGATGATTTGATGCATGTAGCCTTACGTACTTCCTTTGTTCTTTGTTTAAGACATTTTGGTTAGGTTAGGTTAGAAAAATCGTCAAAACTGATTTGACGTCATTTTAACAGAGTTACGACAGCTCCTCGTTCTTCGCCTCGTCACTTCCGGGTTCTCTACACAGAGTTATTTCCGAGTAAACCATGAACGACAATCGATACACGATCTAATGTATAAATCTTCATTGATAGACAGGTGGCGATATACGATAACGGGTATAAAAAAATATGTTAATTCGAAGTAAAGATAAATTTCGCGCTTCTAGGAATAAGGTCCCACGGCGTGGATTAATAATTTAACTGAACTCTGTGAAAGTCATTAATCCACTTCCGAAGGAGCATGAAATTCTTCGTAGACGTAAGTTGCGCATAGTAAAAGCAAACGCCAACAATTCGAAATTATTATTTCATCATTCGTTTAGGAGTCGAACGCTAGCATAGAGACAGGTCGAGAGGAGAGATTTTAGTTAGAAATTTGGAATGTTTCCAATTGACCTAACGTTCCAGCCAATTTGATCAAAGCGATAACGATATCCAAGAATCGTATCACGTTAATCAATTTTCTCCTTTGCAATCTCTTCATCGCAAAGATAAGCGAGTATCAGAGAATCACTGAACTCCAAAGCGTTCATCGCGAATCGCGCTCGCTCGACGTTGTATTAACGTTTTTCTTTACTATTCACTACATTTTTGTTTTTTTTCATCTTACTTTACCCGGCCACTCGACGAACGTAAAATTGCCACGAATACGTTAGGTTACGTTACACACGTTACACGTCGGTCAATGTAACCATTTAGTCCTTCAGTCTTTCTCTCATTGCAATAATCTGTCATGGTCCATTTTCCCTTACACTCGTCAATCTTAATTTACACGCATACCACACCCCGTGTCTGTGATGACTCCAATTCGCCACGTAAATCAATGCGACTCGGTGCTACCTGTGAGTCACACACAGAGATCCAGACGTAGACAAAATCCTAATACTGAATTGCGTATCCTTCATCATGTCCCGTTTTTATCCCTCCCCCATTTTTTACAGAACAAAAATACAATATTACTCCTATAATCGATATACAACAATTTGGTTGGTGCAAAGGACCGTCCTTTTTGACACGACCAAACTAACGCTCGTCCATAGGAATAAATTCGTGTCATCGAGCTGTCATCCGATGACAAATAAACAGCCGTAAGACGATTCGCAATTGTTCTTCCCACTCTGTGCCACACTGGACAACGTAACCAACAATGTTCAAACTCGGCACTCACAAACTAACAATAAACGCTAAACAATGCTAATGTACAAATTTTCTTTTCCCTCAAATTTGAGACTTCACGTTCACGAGATGCACAACGTGTATCTCGCGCGTCCCTTGCCGATCTCATCCCCCCTCCTACCCCCGCCCCTTGTTAGATTATACAATATTTAGAATGTACAATATTATTGTTTAGCAACTGGACGATTTCGTGATTATTGGATGTTTCCTTCGAATTCAATTATTTATCTCGTTTCTGGAGATCGATCGTAGACGTTTGAATTTTTCTTCAAAGATTGACTCGTCATGACGTCACGACGTTGCATCGCGCATCTCATTCAAGCACGTCGTTATCACACTGACTGATAAAACAGCCGAGGCGCGTAGTAAGGAATCACAGTTCAATCGATCTTCCTTCTCACTCTTCATATTTCTCTTCTGCACTTTAACTTCATCCGCGTTGCGTCTCTGACTTGTTTGTCGTGAAAATCATCTTGATTGTACGAGATGATCGTATTGGACGCAATATAACAATATCGGCGCGTGACGGACACAAGACAAATGCGCGGACCGCGCACATATAACGTCATTGTCTCTGACCATCTCTTGTACAAATTTTTAATGTTTGCTTAAAAAAACAAGGACGACAACCTTAAATTCACTGTAGTTATGACAATTGCTAATGATATAATACAATTCTTCTATATCCGATGCAGATAAATAAAAAATGATCTAGCGACAACACCTAACTAGTAACTCAAGCGATATCGTGTAATTTGTGTGGTGAGCATGTGTCCCTTCGACTCGTGACGAATTCCCAGTACCGTACAAAGAGAGAACGGTACCAACGTCCAAGAAGTCATTGTCCGAGCTAAGCGACACTCTGTATACATTCTTTTTCTTTTATTGCTTGGACATGCCAGCATCGGCAGACAGATCCAAAGTGGCCGAGCAGCCCTGTACACGATGATCGTCTTTCGTCGATCTTCAGCATCGCTCTAATTAAATCTAAGTGTCCCACCCTGAAACACACGCGTCACAGAATAAATTCACGTTCATTACTCCAGGTTGAAGCTGAATACACGTTGCTCCGACTTACAATGCTACTTGACGGCGAGTGTCTGCTTGAGATGGCGCATAAGGTGACTTCCCACATCGTGCACCTCGGGCCATTGCTTGAGCACGAAGACAATGCCCAGCACGACGAATGTCGTCGTTAGTATGCGCACCCTGCACATGAAACAATGAGGCTTAGTACAGCTGCAACAGAGAGGTGAAAAAAAAAACCAACGGAATGAGAGCGTGAAACTTAAAAAAAAAAAAAAAACTAAAAAAAAAACAAATGAATAAACAGTGCGATCAGCGCGCACTCTAACGATTGTCTAAGATATAACGATGAGGCGATGATCGAATTGAAAGCGATACGATATCTTTTTGCAAGCATCGACGAGCCTTCTTAAATTTTATACGTATCCGTACAGCATCGGTATCTTTGATTAAAGTTAAATCTCTAGTTGTCGCACGTTTCTACGACAGCAGACAAAATTTGTATTACCTGGTCCTGAGGAAGGGCATCATAATGCCGGCACCTGTCGCTACCAACAAAAGAATGACCTGGAGCACCGTCAGCACGACGTTAATCAACTTGACGACAAGCGCCCTGGCATTGCTGTTATCAATTCCCTCAAGGGTGACGTATTGCTGATGCTGCTGCTGCTGATGCTCCATCTTGCAGATCTTCGTCTGACAACTCTCCAGCATCTCGTGTATGTCCCTGAGACGATCCTCGCTCTGATACTGAACCTTCTCCTCCATGTCGGTGATAGTCTGCTTGAGGTTCTCCACTTCGTTCTGATGAAGTTCCGTGAGATCGTTAACTTGTTCCTCGAGTCGTTCGCACCGGAACCGCTCTTCCTGAAGTGCGTGCGACAGATACGTCACTTCCTGCTGGATCGTCTGAAAGAACAGAAGACACATTTGTGACAATAACTTTAAGAAGCTGCCCCCTCTGATAATTCAATTTTAAACTCCAAACGAACTTTAAGTCCTTCCAGCTTCTCCCTAAGCCGATCGAAGTTCTCTCTGTGTTCCTGGAGCTCCGAGAATATGGATTTCAGGCTAAATGCCGCACTGGTACCGTGACACGTGTGCGCCTGTCCTCGACTTCCTGGTGCGCTCTCGCTCGTCACGCTCGAACACTCGGAACCCTCCTCCGATGGAAATTTCATCCCTGCCGCACTGTGAGTCGATCCTAAGCTACAACCTCCAGGAAGGGTCGCTGAACCATGATGCGTCTTCTCGTCCTCGACGCTACCGTTATCACCATTACCTGCACGCGGTGTAGTATCGTTTACATAAAATGTCGAGCCATCTGTGGGGGACACGGAGGTTGCCGGTTAGAACGTTATCCAATAGTACTGAAATATAGGCTTGTTCTTCTTTCACTATTTTACATTTCCCTTTCACGTTTTAATCTTAAGCGCATTCACGCACACGATTTCTCGGCTGTACACAGTTCCTTATACCATGAGAGTAAAAAGCCACGCACACGTAACTCCCGGGCCTCGTCCCCACGACTGCACAATTTTCAAAGTCAATCTTAAGGTTTCCGCTCGACAAAAAGATAAAAGCGCACGCCTCACTTTGTCTTTTGGTTCCTAAATCAATTTCAAGGAGAGACTTTGCATTTCGCGACGTAACGAGCGTTCAGTATAATTTAAGTGTAACTGGATGGGACTAACACGATAAGCCAACAATTTTCATTAGTATTGGATAACAGATTAGATAAGCATTAAGCAATGTGGCAGGTACATTGTTACGTCAAAGACAAATTAAACGACACGCACTATAAGCATTCTTAGGACAACAATAAACACTCATTGCCGAGGGCTTTTACAGTGAAGAGTTAGATTACAGTGACATAATGTTTCAAAGAGAATTTTAAATCAATTATCATATGATTTAACGAGACGTCATGCAAATATACACAAGAGTATTAAACGTTACGTGTACAGAAATCATACGGGCACGTGACACATTTTTTGTTTATTACAGTCTACACGATTGGTACGCTAAAATACGATGATCGTTGACAAATCTCAGACATTCAACTTGAAAAAAAAAAAAATGTACTGTATAAAATCATTAACAATCAAAAGTCATTACTAGAACACGACGTATAAGCAGACCTTTTTTTTAATAAGTGACACGTTGAAACATATATATATATATATATGTAGATTACACGAAAGGTGATGCATAAACAAAAAAAATTGAAATTGAATACAGAATTACAGACAATTAGTTCAGCGATCTACTACTTACTACTGTCAACTGTCATGGCAGCGCAAAAGGTCAAAGAACGTTTATTCGTATATCTAGTCCAGATTTCTATGAATATCTATGAGATACTTTATTGATACTACACTAATTAGACGGCATTAATAATATTTCAATTACAATATCCTGTAAGGTCACTGTACGTATCCTCAACCATGTATTTCGAGATACTCTAAAGTGAAAGATGTATCATTGAACGACTGAATGGTACATAGAAGAAAGAAAATAAAAAACCAAAGATGAATAAATGGATATGAAAAAATATCTGGCAGGATTGAAGTGCCAAGTACGATGCATTGAACAGAAAAAAAAAAGAGAGAAATCGAAGAAGCCGTAAAGTAGCAACAGGAAACGAAGACAGGGTTGTTCATTGTTAATTGAACAAAAAAAATAATGCGATGATAGGTCGATGATTGTACTGTTGATCCATGTGGCCGAGTCGTCGCTTAATGCAATTTGGTGACTGTTGAGGCTGCTCGACGATGAGATGCGATTGAATACTATGCAGATATACTAAGAAACCGTGATTGCGAGACGTCGGTGATAACGAAGAAAAGAGTGAAAGAGCGTCAGCGTATCTGTTGTGTGTGAGTGATAAAAAGAAAAAGAAAAAAAGGAAAAAGAAAGCAAGATAAAAGAAAAATAATACTTACGTGAAAGGGTGTTTATGTTGTCGGCACTGCCAAACTTGTTCTTGATGAGATGAGCAAATTCTCGTGGCTTCGACATGACGCTTCTGAAAGGTAAAATTGATCCATGAGTCATGACTGAGAGTATTTTTCTTATCAGCCCTCGAAATCGTGATAGCCGGTTCATTAAGATAATAAAGTTTTTCTAACTCGAATAAACAAAACCAGCTGATTCGTACCATCTGGCTAAATAAAGCAGTTCAACTGGAATTAAAACTAACCAAGCAAGCTGAAAGCATAATTTCTTGAATTGATAGTCATTTTCACTAAGAGTTATATAATGGCAGCAACAAGAAAACGTAATGCCAACAGACGTATGAATGGCAAGGTAAGGAAAAAAAGCATGAAATTCTCTTTCCCTTTGAAGTAATCGGATTGGCCCAGTGACCGTGACCATGAACTAGAGCGGAAGGCCTAGAGTCCATTAATGACTAGAAATAAAATTACCATGTAAAACACACCGATATTATAAATAACGTTAAGCGTGCTGATCCTCGAAACGTTACAAGTGACTAAGATACAGAGGTATTCGTATAGATGCCAAGAACAGGGTTTGTCGAGGTTCAAATCTCGGATGCGCGATTCGTAAATTGTTCTGGAGCATCCGGGTGCTGCCGGCGTCCGTGGGCAATTCTATTTTTACAGTAAATACTCACCCCGAGAAACCAGTGATCCCGTCCCTAATATTGCCGCCCACGCTTCTGGAAGGGAGCCTCAAATTAGACATTGAAATCTCAAGCTATACTTAGGAAGGAAGTGTTAGCGACCTTAATGTCGTCGCTACAAATATAGAAACAGTTTCGTGTATCCATCTTCTTATTGTTAGAGTACTCATTCTCTGAAAACTTTGCGATGACGTGGCAGAGACAAAGATTGAGTGAAGGTACATACTGTGCGATGCTCGGCATAGCCTAGGCTAATTATGAGAACAAAGGCATCCAATTTTGCAGTCATCGAATAAATTAAAAAAATGTTTCTATTCGCAATGCTACGGGTTGAATGTACACGTACAATAAACATACATTTGCCCCTTGGAGGTTTAGCAAGTCCTACATAAATTAAAGTACGAGAGACAATTTCTGGAGGAGAATGATTAAACACTTTCCTACGGGCTAAGGAAAAACTATGGAATTGAAAGGGAGAGCGAAGTAAGCTTCGAACTTACTTGAGACCCTGGCCCATGTCTCGAAGTACTTCGCGAGGCTGCCGATGACTCGTAGGTGGACCGTTCATCTCGTAACTCTTTAACTTCTTCGTGTAACTATCGAGCTTCTTTTGAAGCTGCGAGATGCTGTGCGCAGATTTCTGATTTTTCTTCTCGAAGACAGTCTTGATTCTTGTGAGTTGCTGTTTGTCTGCGTTGGCAGCCAGTTTGAGGTACTCGTTGACGTTTTCTGAAAAAAGAAATAATACATTTAGAATAAATTTATCGAAAACTGTCTGGTCGAGATACGTTTATTGCGTAAAAAATTATCTTTTATCAATATGACTCATTGATTATATCCCTCGTCCATCAACTTAATGGCATTTAAGAATCCAATGTAAATACAGAAAATTCTGTTGTCGAAGAATTCTTCCGGGATGCATATTACTACAGAAATGCTTCGCTCAAAAATTCATTCTCGTGCCTTGCACTACTAGTTATTTATCATATTCCTTCGAAATCTCTTTCTGACGAAGCGTGACTCAGAGGTATGAACAGCACGAAGCTTGAGTTACGATGAAATCGACTCTCAGTTTAAAAATCAGCTAATCGCTCAGTGAGAATAGTGCTTTGTGCAAGTCAAATTCGTAACCGTTGATTCACAGCATTAAGACTCAGGGAGCGTACAAGGTCGTACGTAAATTATATAAATCAGATGTTTTTCAGTTCAGTTTCCAGCAGTATAAGGTAGGAAAATAGAAAGAAGAAGCATTTACAAAACCGTGCGCGAAATGGCATAGTAAACAAAATAATATTGCAACCAGCAATCAAATGCCGTCTTCATAAGAGGAGAAATGCTACCTTGTAAAGTTGACACATATTTATTAATATTTATGCGTATCACGTAACATACCAGTTTGCATATAGAGTCCGTTGACTACTAATCATCAAATTGAAACTATTTCTACGGACTGTTCCGAATTGCGTCCGAGTCTCGCAGTTTTACAGTCGAGTAACATTTCATATTTCAAGACAGAAGGACACGACTATCCAATACATACTAAGGTATACACATTTATTTCCCGACAAAAATAGCCGCTCGGCACGCAGAAATATATTGAAGTTCGAAGAAAATTATTATTACAGCAGCTTCTCGACAAGATCAATAATCAGACCTGAATTCAAGTTCATCAACACATTCCTTACAAAATATTTTGACTGGCCCAGTCGGTAGTCAGATTAATATAAAGCGCATTTCACGCTGTGCATCCTCAGTAGCCATGTAACTACTGATAGATCTATATGTCAAAATATTCCTAGCCGTAGAAACATACGGATGCGACTCACATACTCTTCCAAGTAGTAGCATGAAAATCTAACTGACAGCCGTGACGTTAGACGCTCCTCGCCAATGCACCCTACTCAAATTGACAGTAGACTCACCGTCTCGTGTCGTTTGCTCTATTCGTATGAGTTCTCGTGTCTTGGCTATTTTACTTTGAACATGTTCCATCGCCTGACGAACACGAGCGCCACTGGAATCGACATCATCGCTGATCAATTCGGAAGATCCGTTCGACAGGAACGATTGAGTCGCGTGATATGGTTCCTGCGAAGAGAGAAATAAATAATAATATATCAATAAGTCGAGGTTATAAATAAAAAAAAAAAGCATAAAATACATAAAAACCAAAGAACAAAAAGTGGTAACAGACATTTAAGAGACTTTCGATCTTATCCTCCTGTACGTACGTGTTGAGAAGCAGTATGCGAATGACTAGTTCACTTCCTTGCCTTAACCTTTGACCACGATTGCACGACTCTTGTCGTTACTTTTACTAACTCACAGTATACTGGACTACGCCGTAGGAGCACGCGTATTATATAAAGGTCTCCAGCTTTGTTTTGGTTGAGAAATTATTTAAGATATTTATTATACGTACACCTTCGTCGTCGGTAGGCGGATGTACGTTGGGCACAAACTCTTCCAGTTCGCCAGTGGTCGGATTGGTATTTGTCTCGTCCATGGTGTCTCCGGCGCGTACTATGGCACCTGGTGATCTCTGCCGGTTGGTACTCTTCATGGCTGAACTTCCGCCGCCACCACCGCTGCTGCCACTGCCTGTGCTGCCTTCGCCAGATTGACAGCTGCAAACAAAAATGGTATCACCCGATAGCGTTAATCAGATTGGCAGAACGAGAAGACGAGGGGGGGTACGTGGATATAAAATAAAAGTCCTTCATGAAGATTGCATCCGTGTGAATTGATGTCCTTCGATGCGAACTCCATTGGCAGCTCTCTGAACATGCTCGAAAGTAAAGAGAAACCTAGGAAGTGTGCGTTAGAGATAAATAGAAATAAAATATTTACTCGATTATTCTAAAGAATTGTTTTTAATGGAACTTCCGTATCATTGTAAACTTCCGGTATGGAGTTACAAAATTTTTGGAATCTCCCTAATTATAGACCGTGTTTTATTACTCGCTATTCCCCTCTCTGTTCCTGGTACATTCCAATCGCGTATATCAGGCAATCGATATCGCGCTTACGCTCCTCGTCGATACGTGAAGGTATGACCATGCGATAACCAGAGGATCGAAGAAGACTTCGTGACAACTAAATTACGGAATGCAGCCATTTTTCTTCTCTTTCTGTTGATCTCGACCCGCAAGAGTCTGCACGTGACCCACGTGTAAGAGATAACAACCGTCGTCCAAAAAGCGTCGTAACGTATACCACTATAGACTCCTATCTTATATCTTATATCGACGTGCGTGCACTTATATTTCACTTATAAAAGGACTCTACAAATGTATATATATATATATATATATATATAGATATTTACCGCACGAGTTTCATTCTGACACGAAGTACAAATCAGGATTCGATATTATT